AGTCCCCGATTCCAAGCAAGCCACATCAAATTAGGCCATTGACCATCCAAGTTGTAAAAAAAAAGAGAAACAATCTACAAAAAATTATTTCTTGGAAGGGGTCGTGGCAAATAAATGGTCGTAAGAAAAAGAGTCATTGTCAACATGCAGGATAGAGAACTCTAGAAAATAGGCACGAAGAATGAACCGTTGCAATGAGAAAAGGATATGAATGGATCACGTGCCAATCATTTCTTTTAAATTTGAAAAGATGAATAGAAGACCGAATTTCTACATGTGGAGGCTTGCCCGCATACTTTGAGCTTCATGGCCAATAGTGGGGTGCTAGCTAAGCATGGTGAGTATAGTGGCAAATGTTTAAATTCAAAGAATCAAAACAACTGTACGAATATGAAGTATTCAATCACATCTTTTTTTTAGAGGGCAATGTTTACACCAAAAAATAGTAATATCTAAGGATGACACGTGGAAAAAATTCGAGAGTCATGAAAGAGTCTATAAGAGTTTACACTTGACAGGGGTAGTTAAGGAAGTGAGACTCTAACAATCCCAAAAAACACGAAAACATGATATCATAAGCCGTCAGTTGGAGAAAGTTCAATACACATCTACACATCTTAAAGGGAAGAGGTCATGATTACAGGCATGATAAAAAAAGATGGTTTTGATGGTTGAAGGTTGAAGGTTATTTCCTATAAATAACGAAGGCATAGAGAAGAGATCCTCAATCAAACACAACCCCCCTATACAGAGTCAGTCTATCTCCTACTTATTTTACTTCCAGCAAGTTTACTTTAATCTTTAATCCATCATTTTGGTGATCTTTATCATTTTTATTTAATTTTTTTTCTACATTCCAGTTCATTACATTATAAGTTGGAACCCTGAGTCAGCCCCAAACCATAATGTAAGTCTCAGGGATGGAGATAAGAGAACCAAGCATCTGTATGAGTAAAGGCGCATTAGGCGGAGCCTTCTTAGGTTGATGGAGGAACCATTCTAGTCCTAGGATCCAAGCAAATGACATCTAATTAGGTCGTGAATAATTCAAGTTGTACAAAAAAGAGAAACAATCTACAAAGGATTATTCCTTGGAAAGGGCCATGACAAATAAATGGGCGTAGGAAAAAGAGTCATTGTCAACAAGCGGGATGGAGGGCTTTGGAAAATAGGCACGAAGAACGAACCATTGCAATGAGAAAAGGATATGGATGGATCACGTGTCAATCGTTTCTTGCAAATTTGAAAAGATGAGCAGAAGACCAAAAGTCCACATTGAGGCTTGGCTGCCTACTCTGAGCTTCAAAGCCAATAGTGGGGTGATAGCTAAGCGGGGTGAGTATAGCGGCAAAAATTTAAATTCAAAGAATCAAAACGAAACTCCGAATATAAATTGTTCAATCGCATCATTTTTTATGGAAGGGGGCAATGTTTTCACCAAAATATATTAAAATCTAAGGATGACACGTGGACGCAATCTAATAGTAATGAAAGAGTCCACACTTGACAAGGTGGTTAAAGAAGGGAGACTCTGAGAATTTCGAGAAATAAGAAAATATGACACCATGAGCCGTCAGTTGGAGACGGTCCAGTAAACGTCTGCACATCTGAAGGAAAAAGCCCATGATTACAGTTATGATCGAAAAAGATGGCTTTGACGGTTGAAGGTCAGCTCCTATAAATAATGAAAGCAAGGCTATAGAGAAAAGATCCTCAATCAAACACAACTCTATACAGAGTCAACCTCTCTTATACTTATTTTACTTTCAAATAATTTTACTTTAATCTTCAATCCATCACTCTGGTGATCTTTATCATTTTTATTTAATGTGAAGTACAATTCTCTTTTTATCTTCCAAGTTTAGTTTATCTGCTATTTTACATTTCAATTATCTTTCTATATTTCAGTTCATTACGTTATAAATTAAAAAATTGTTGAAATCTTTGATCCCTAATGCTCCGTTTGGTACAATAGAAAAGTGGGTGGATGAAAAGTTGGACGGATAAAAAGTTAGAGGGATAAATAAAACATCATGTTTG